GACTGTGATTCACACCTTCGAAATGCAAAGTCCTTGTTTCATCGTATATCCCAAAAAATGTCAGCACCATGAAAATTGATGGAGAATATTGAAAATTGATGGAGAATAAGCGCAGTACTTATCAAATTCTGCTATCTTTGATCGAAGGTTACTGATGTCTAGGAGAGAATCAAGAGGCCTCAAAGCATATAACATGCTGTGGCAAAATTTGCAAAAGCTGCTGTGAGTCCGTAAGTGAAGGCCCACATATATCTAACAGCTTGTTTACCATTGATGATATGTGTTGCATCAACATGGACACTTACCACGAAGGAATTGAAGGCGCTGAACTTGTTTGAACGCTCTTGTTATAGCAGAATCCTCCGCTCTCGTTTTATTGATAAGATCAGAAATGCTCAGTTGCTGGAGGCCGTTAGAGCAGGGTACAAGGGGATTCACCAAGCAAGAAATAATATCAACTATCCCTCTGACGAACATGAAAACTACAACTCTCATTTCTCGGTCGCACACTTGCGACGGGACGACAAGCAGATGATCTCCATATTTATTCGTAGTGTGCCGAACCCATTCTTTGAAAAACCAAGAGGCATGTCGATGTTTTCTTGGTTGAATAATACCCATATGCAGGTGGTCCGCACATGCCAATAATCTGAGCTAAATCTGGCACAATGATTGGCTTGCAGTTGATATGCCCGGGACAGAATACAATGACAAATGGTGACAAGATGTGTAGGGATACTGGCGTTCTTTGGGGACATTCCATAAGTCAGTGAGTTACATCACAAAGGAAACTTTCCAAAGGAGACATTGGGACAGCAAAACCTCAATAGTTTTCATCCACTTTGTACCAGGTATCCGAGAAACGGAAAGAACTGCGTGTGAATTACGCATGAAACTAGTCCTCTTACCTGATCCTTGGCAGCCAACTGACAAACTCTATTAACCATCGAGCTGCTAAAGGAAGAAACAAGGCTGAATCTAAGTTAACTTGCCAATATGAAGCGGTATATATGGAAGAACCTAAAAACACGATCGACAGGAAGAAAAAAGGGTGCCGCGAATTTACTACGGTTAAACAACTACGATCGAATGAGTAGAAGGAATGCACAAAGGAGGATGTGACTGAGATGTATCTTATGTTTTGCGATAATAATTGCGTGCGAACGATATTGCCGTAAAACATTTAGTGCATGAGTTACGCAATTAATTGGAAATTCATGAAAGGGCTTTTGCACGGGACGAACGTAGACGAAAAATAAAAGAAACAGTTATCAGTAGGCATGCAAGTATCTCAACTAAGAAAAATGGAATTAATTTTCATATGTATGGATGGAAACGACAAAGGAACTAGCGATACAAACTCAGACGGACTCCAACTCAATGTTTTGCCCTGAACGATGTACCGGCGGCAAGTTTTAGACTCAGACGTTCTTGTCAGTCTTCATATATCAGAACAGTGCCTTCATGCACTGATAAGTTTGTTTGAATTCTTTTGTTGGTAATCTCTGAGCGTATGGCATTGTTTGCTGAAGAGGATCGACTGTCATCCGAAATATTGCAGAGATTACTGATATTTGACCGCAAACTAAACGCGTTTGTGATTATGGTGATGAAGAAATAGTTCCAACATAAAACAATTTGTTCAGGTTTTTATGGGGAAACTGTATTACGAATCAAGTTAAACAGGTATAATCGCGAAACAGTGGCATATCTACCACAGTAAGGTGAACAAAGACGTGTTTTAAAAGTGTTTCATTAATCTTTGCAAAATATTGTTGTGCATCATTAGGCTGCGATTTCGACGATGATAACCAAGATCATTGGATTCACAACTGACAAGTCCCGAGTTCGATCCCAGGTCACGGTCACTCGCCTTTCTTCCTTCTAAGGTTAAACATGAGTACCGTTCTGTAGGAAGAAAACAGCGTACTTCACACTGTGCTTGCCTCATAGCTGGGATCAAAGCAGCAAAAAGGCTCTTTAAAATAAGGCACTCCTGACTGATGGCCGCGAAATGGTGATTAGCCCCTGCCATTGAACTCCTGAAATGAATGCGCCTGAAATGGTCCCGTCATGAATGTGGAAGACCGGCATTCCAACGGTTACAAGCTTAGTTTTTTTCTTTTGAACGTAAACCGTAACCTATTCGCACGAAGCATAATCACGCTGTTTTGCGCATAAATGGAAGAGTTTGCACGTCGTACTACTTACATAGCTCAACAATGTATTGATGGCTGGTTACAACTGCTGTTAAAAATAGCCGCATTTCGCCTTACGTTTCATGAAAGGTAAGGGAGAAAAGCTGTTGTAGTTGAAATCTCGACCGCTCTCTTCGCACTTCTCTAACGGTTGTTCTTTAATCCTTATTTTAAAAAGTTTATGGTATATGGATTCCGTGAATGAAGGTCACAGATAGCGCCAGGTTCATTGGCTAACTGTGGTCATTCCTGTGATTAAACTTTTTTGTTCGTCACAACTCTCACTCTCTCCACCGTTAAGTTATTTCTTTGCTGCATTTATCTTAAATTGAATGTATTATTTTTCAGTTCCTCCAATTGTAACAACGAAAACAACGCCAATCACGGTATACAGTGATTTCGACGTAACTATTCCGTGTGAAATTCGGGCGTTTCCTGCCTGCACTGATTCTTCCGTTTATTGGTCATTTACACCATTGGGACAGCCGCTTGCTGACACTGTTTATGCCGACTATCGTCATTCAATGATCGTTGACGTTGATCGTCCGTCCTACGTGCCTTCTTCGGGTGCGCAAGCCTCTTTGATCGTAAGTGTACTGCTTCTCGTTGTTTGGGATGAAAATGATATACAAACAGGTATAAATACAAGTGTCGATGAACAGTAGTAATTAATTACAATAGTAAGAAATATATAAATGAACACATTAACGTTTAAATAACACAGAAGACCTGTTATACCAGTTTTTATAGTTGGCAGAACGGTTCAACCAAGTCAGTTGATTAACAGTGACCTTGTAGACTGAACATACCCAGCTAATGACTGAAGTCTCTTGCGATATTGCTCAAAACGCTATCGTAGTATTTTTCACTTATGTCGCAGATGCAAAAGATGCACAGCTAGTGTGTAAGAAACCACAAAGGATAATATATGGAATAGCACTACCATCGAACCTTGAAGATGTCAGGCACATTTAACTAGTTAACATCGATTACCACGTTGTTCTGGGCGTAAAACATGATATGCATAAAATTAGATTTCGATTTTTTATTTAATTATTATAGTTATAGTTATATTTAATTATTATAGTTAAAGCAAAAAATATTGAAGGGGTGAGCG